TGAAATCGAATTGTATTGTACACAGGCAGTTTGTGTGACGCGCTGTGAGGTCCTTAGGTCTTCCAAGATGGCTGCTTCCATAGCCAAGCTACTGAAACCCTGGAGCCCTAGGTAATTTCTTTTTTTAGGAGATATTTAGAATTAGATTGGTTTTCACAAACAATTTTGTGAGGATAAGGCTATCATAGAATTACTGTGCGCAATTCGCTTGTTTTCTTGATGGACGTGTCTGGGGCGCTCATAACATTTTGATTTCTCCCTGACATGATGAAGAATCATGCAGGATATTTTACTATTTATATTAGTGTAATGAAAGCGACTTAAAACAGCCATGACTTGTGTCGAAAAGCAGCAAAATCTTTCCATTAAATTGAGATATTAGACAATACCGAAAGGGATGATGACATGCGGCATTTACTATACTACAGTGTACCTTTGAATGCATTAACAGATATTATTTTGCGATACAACTGATGTGGCTGAAATCGTCTGAGGTAATTCAAGTGTTATTTGTAATTTAAATGGTCTATTGGAAGCTGTTTGCAGCCAGGATTTATTTTAGTCATGCAGTATATAACTCGGTGTTATCCCGCAGCGTTTTTCAGGCGAGATGGGGAAGGTACAACCCTTATTACCTGGAGCCCGAGCCGGACAAGGAGAAGTACCTCACCCCGGCGTCGGAGCTGTCGGAGCAGGAGAAGCAGGAGAGAGAACTGAAGGCTGTCAGACCGATTAAAGCAGCTCCTGCTGGGATCACCAGCTCTGTCTTTAACGACCCCGTTATCAGGTGGGAATAAAAAAGGAACAGAAGGGATTTTCAACATAAAACTAAATAAGGTTTCAATGGCACATACAACTAAATAAGGTTTCAATGGCATCTAAGTATAGCAAATCATCATAAAGCTTTTTTCAAACTCGTATTATTAGGACTAAGAATCTAGTTTCCATAGCTGTGTTCTTTCCGATACTTGGTTAAACAGTTAGAGTTAAAAAAAGCTACTTTAAACTATTTTATAATAACATTTTATTTCTTTCCACAGTAAATTTGTGAACATGATGATGCAAGATGGTAATAAAGTCCTGGCCAGGTCTATCATGACAAAGGTCTGTCCTGCACTGTGATCTAATGTATTTGTAACTAATCTGAGAATGTGATGTGCACAGCCACTGGAGTACACACAGATCAGAAAATCTGTAATCCACTAAAGCTTTACTTTTTTAAATAAGTACATACATTTTATATATTACCCCGTTCTGTGATTCCGTAAAGCTTTTTCTGTAAAAAACATTTTCTGAGTACATGTTACTGCAGTACTAAAGCAATTAACACAATGGCTTACAAGGTTCAAGGCATCATCCCACACAACATGAGCATGTTTTTTTTTTTACTGTTCTAGACCCTGGAGAACATAAAGAGAAAGCAGGTGGAGAAGTTTCACAAAGCGCCAGCCGCACAGAAGGATGAGATCGAGTGCAACCCATACGCCATCTTCCACGAAGCTCTGAATAACTGCAAACCTGTGATTGGCCTAACAAGCATTCAGAGAGGAGGCAAGTTCTACCAGGTAAGCAACCGCAGGGCTGCTGTGCATTTCCATTTCTGCAAAGCGTTTTTTTACTTTTAGCTGAAACTTTTTGATCTTCCGCATTCTGGCGAGGTTCTGGAATGAGAAGGATCACGGCCGAGGCGCGGGCCTCCCGTCAGCTGTAACACGCTTTGCTCGCGTAGGTGCCCACCCCTCTCACGGACAACCGGCGGCGCTTCCTGGCCATGAAGTGGATGATCGTGGAGTGCCGGGACAACAAGCACCGCCGCACCCTGATGTACGAGAAGCTGTCCCAGGAGCTCATGGCGGCCTTCGCCAACGAGGGCAACGTCATCAAGAGAAAACATGACCTGCACAAGATGGCCGAGGCCAACCGAGCCTTCGCGCACTTCCGCTGGTGGTAGTGGGTGCCAGGAAAATACCCGCACGCAAACTGCCACAGGGTGCCCTTTCCGTGTCGTGGAGGAGCTGCCCATCACCCTCGGACAGTCTGGACCATTTGAGCATCAGGTTTCTTCACTGTGGACCTCAAGCCTTGTGCTGGATGGAGTGTGTTCTTTGTGATTTTAGAAGTATTTGCCACTGTTCCCCTTGATTTACGATTATAATATTTTGACCTAGGAATAAACACAGTAAATGGTACGCCATCCATTCCGGTTATTTTTTCCCCACTATGGATTCTTTCACAAGCATACTTTAAGTCATAACATGGGCTGAGATGCTTCACCTCCCTCGAGGGTGTGTTAACTATGACATCTGGTTTCACTTCTAGGAATTAATGAATAATGCAACATCAACATGTTAAGTGAAAACTTTATTTTTTGTTTGTAAGAGTTCCAGAATTTTCAATAGCAAAATGATTTTTCTGCAGCTGTACTTTAAAAAAACCATTTATACAGTACAAAAAGGGAGAAAGTCTTTTTGTGATTACAACTTATTTACTTCATTTTGCATTAAAAGATAAACAAACAGACGTTTGTCCGCAGTTGTGAGAACACGGCATAAAAACAACTGAGATCTGAACATGGAAGCCTGCACAATTGATTTTGAAGACTTATGTCTGCATACAGGACAGATTTCTGGATAGTACTGTATCTGCTGAAGATCATGCAATCCACATCTGTCTGGTATTTGTCTAGTAAAATATCTGCAAAAAAACTCAGTTCTATCAGAAATTCCAGTCATACAGGTGTCAAAATTCAGATCAATACAATTCAAACTAAACCATCAATATGACAGAAAATAAATAATTCTATGTATAAATTTGTGTAGATATTTAAAAATGTTACCACACTGTATCGCCAAAGGTGAGCCACACAATCAAGTTTATACTATCTGGGTCTATTTTTTATGTTCTATTCATCTTTATAATGAACACGCAATAGTGGTGATAATAAAAGTGCCTGTGGATGACAAAGGCAAATTATATCATGACTTTGAACACCATCCAATATTAATATTTAGATGGTGATTATGAATAGTCAGGTGCAGCACAGACCAAATTAAAACACGAGAAAGCTAATATGGGAGCAAAAAAGGAGATTTCAAGAAGTCAT